TTGATAAGATGGTTTAGTAATTTAGTATCTGTGCTCGAATTCCTGAATTATCATAAGTTGAGATTTGTTGTTGAATGGTCGGGCTTGCTTAACATTGTGTTGGGCGCCATCACGACTGGGGTTTGGGTCGTGACAGGAAAGCGGTGTTTGCGGCTTGAGTTGGCCGTGGAAGTCCGAGGTAAGTGTTCGGTCTAACCTTAGCTTGAGAGATTAGGAGTTGTGTCCTATTTGCTACTTGCTTCTTGTTGAGTACGACGTATAGGCATGGTGACGAGTATCTATACGTTGGTGTCGAGCATGACCGTGAGTCTTAAATTTCAAATTGTTATGTTCTTAAATGATACTACGAATGCTTTAATTGATGATCCTCGATATTGAGCAAGGATTGAGTTTGTCTTTCGTGGAAAGTACTTATGATTGGGCATTGGTGTTATCTGAGATGAGTAGATGTTGAGTTAAGATTGGATATAGCTGATTCTCCCATGCCGGGACGTATTTATTCTTTTTACTGTTGAAACCCTTGCCGGGATAGAGTAGTTATTGATGATCCCTTGCCGGGATACTTGGCATGGTTGTTGTTGATATTATATATATATATGGATCGGGTTGCGCGCCACNATATATATATATATATATATATATATATATATATATATATATATATATATATATGGATCGGGTTGCACGCCGCAACAATATTAAATATGGATCGGGTTGCACGCCACAACGATAGTATATTATAAATATGAATCGGGTTGCACGCCGCAACAATAGTATATTATATTGGATCGGGTTGCACGCCGCAACAGTGGTAAATGTTAAGGGATCGGGTTGCGCGCCGCAAGAGTACTATTATTGTTTTGTTGTAGATTCTGAGTTGTTCTCTCGTATTTCTCTTAAGTTCCTGCTGGATTTGACATTCTCCCCCGTAGCATATACCCCCTCCCATTTAAATTGTTTATTTCTGTTTATTTTTCGCTGTATATTATATAACTGCACAGGTTTATCTGGAGTCTAGTCCTAGCTTCGTCACCACCTCGCCGGGGTTAGGCCAGGCACTTACCAGCACATGGGGTCGGTTGTGCTGATACTACACTCTGCACTATGTGCAGATAGCGGAGCAACATTTGGGCAGTAGCATTCGGGGAGCCAGCCTTCAGTCCAGTCAGGGAGTCCGAGGTAGTCCTGCAGGCGTCCGCAGGCCCGACGCTCTCTTCTACCTGTGATTATGTTCTGTTTTCACTTGTTTTCGAGACAGACTGTATTTCCTTTTTTTCAGACCTTGTATGTAGCACTCATAGACAGTCCGTGGATATTGTGACACCGGTTTCTGGGTAGAGGCATATATTGGCATTTCTGTACTGATTTTGATATTTAATTTGACTAAGTCTTCCGCTTGATTTCATCTTCCGCAATCATTTTAATATTGATCGCTTGTTTATTTTAAGTTGTTAAAAGGGATTAAAATGAATGAATTAAGATTTCTACATCTCGTGGCTTGCCTAGCTTCTACGAGTAGGCGCCATCACGACCCCCGAGGGTGGGAAATCCGGGTCGTGACAATTCATAAACTAACTATTTATTATTGAAATTTTTACATTCCTATGCCACATAGGAAACCTTATTACCCTCAATGTTTAAGGTTTGATTTAATTACACTTAGTATACCAAATTACCGATCCTATACCATACTTAATTAAGGGTCTAATTAATGGGCAATTTTTACTCCTTAATTAAAGGTGTCCATATATCCCACGTTTCTCTATCCCCCTAATTCCTAAGACCTGCGCCGTTTTTCCCCTCCCCTTTCTTCCTCTTCTCCATTCCTTCTTCTTCTCAAAAAATACAGAGATGGAAATTGCAATTTTGTTATGTACGAAATAGTAGGGCCCACACTATATTTATGTACGTTTTTTTTTGGAGTTTGCAATTGAGTGATCCTATGTTGATAACTCTTATGCATATAACGTGTTTGAAGAACCTTATGAAAAAAAGTGTTTGAAGAAAGTTCTCTGTGATGTTTGGATCTGGTGTTTTGTTTTAGTGCCTTAGCCTTATCTAGAAAAGTTGGCTTAGATCTCCTTTCGTTTCTTTCAACAATTGTTCTGGAATACCTTGACAACTAATCCCATATATTTCAAGGAAAATTGTTATGCTACCTCATCGTGCTTCCCTTTTTATCTGAAACAATTGTTCTCTAGATGTAGAATGTCATAGTCCATTTGCCAAATAGCTTGCGGAAAGGTGTTTAGTTTGTTGCAAGTTTATGCTTGCATATTTTGCGCCTGACACACGGGAAATAGTATGTGTTGTGGATAAATTATAGATAAATTATAGATAAATTGTAGATTGTTTTTTGCAGAAGATTTTGTATAAGTTTTAGTCGTTTTGGATTTCTGAAAACAGAAAACAATGCATCTACAATCAGAATACAAATAATCTACAATATATCTATAAAATATCTACAAACTAGATACATTGAATTTTAATATCCCAATTTCCATTTCAATTGTAGCATAATTGACATTTTCGGCATAATTGCGTTTTTTGCAGAAGATTTGTAGAAGTTTTAGTCGTTTTTGATTTGTGAAAACAGAAAACAAAGCACCTACAATTAGAATACAAATAATCTACAATTTATCTACAAAATATCTACAAACTGGGTACACTAAATTTTTATATCCCAATTCCCATCCAATTGTAGCATAATTGTGATTTTTGACATAATTGCATTTTTTTTAGAAGATTTGTAGAAATTTTAGCCGTTTTTATTTGTGAAAACAGAAAATAAAACATCTACAATCAGAATACAAATAATCTACAATTTATCTACAATTTCTGCAATATGTCTTCTTCTTCTTCTTCTTCTTCTTCTTCTTCTTCTTCTTCTTCTTCTTCTTCTTCTTCTTCTTCTTCGAGTTTCAATCTGAAATTCAGTCAAAACCAAGTCTAATCTTCACCAAGACCCCTCAAAATTGAGATATAAACTCCAAACCATATTCCCGATTATTTTCAACAACACCCAATCCAAACACATAATGATTTTTGAAAACCAAATTTGAATTCAAAGCTTTCAAGCTTTTTAATGACTATCAATGGTGAAAAATATCTGGAAGAATATTTACTTCCATAATGGCTTCCTGATTTTTCGCAGGTGATTAAGGCAGAATTTTAATGTAGACTCAATCAATCCCAAGATTCTTTCCTGATTTTTAGCGTGTGATTAAGGGAAAATTCTGCCCTATTAACTCCTAATAAACGAATGGTACAGAAATTGTAGGAAAAATATGGACTAGGCGAATAATTTAGATACTATGCACATATTTGGTAATAAAGTTTCATATATGGTATAGGAAGGAAAAAATCCCTTTATTATTAAGTACTTACCCCATAAATTTATATCTAACTACACTTGATTCATACACCTTGTTGGGTTAGTTTAGCACGAATAGAAGTCCAGTGAGGGTTTTCCATATTTACAGAGTAAAATTCCCTCGTCCAGGAGGGTTTTCCATATTTCTACTAATGCAACTGTATATAAACAATTAACAGGAAAAGCATACATGTAATTGTCAACATCTCAGTCGGTTATTCTTCAATTCTCCTACTAATCAAAGCTGTACTAAGCCAATGTCACATTGTCACTTAGCAATTGCCTCAAACACTAAAAATTGAAAGGTTCCAAATGGATCAACTTATTTTTTCACTTCAGAATAAATTTGAATTATTCAAAAATATTAGGTTGTTGACGCTCCACTCAATAGTAAAACATCTAGATGATGAGAATTTTAAAAAGAAAAACATGTAAAAAGTTCTTTTTTTTTAATCTTGAAATAGATTTGAACTATCTAAAATATATGAAATTATTTTTGACATCTTAGTTAGTGTAAACAATTTGAGATTATTAGGCGAATACAATTTGAAAAAGTTACATTAACCTTGAATGTTTTAAAAATATTACATTAATCTTTAGTATTTCTTACAATATTAGTAAGTCTTTATGAATGGTACAGATGTGTGCAAGAAAGTTTGAAAACCACCATTCATTTATGAATGTTGTTGTATAAACGCAAATCTCTTATTAAAATTTCAATTCGAGATACTAATTTATATAAGGAATCTTATAGTTGGCCGGATTCAATATTTTATTTTTTATGCTCGGTATACATAAATTATACACTAAGTATATTTTATCTTTATTTTGTTATTGAATTCGTCAATTTCCTAGAAGACAGGCCATGATTTTCGCTAAAGTTATCATTTTGACCTCATTGGCTTCTGTGTAAATGTGTGATTTTCATTGGTTTTTTCTTTCTTGAGTGACTTATAGCATGGTTTGCTTCTCCTCCGTTCTGTAAATGATTTTTTCCCCTTTTAAGTAGCGTAGAAGTGTGTTTATTGCTTCTTCAAATTGAAAATGAAGAAAATTACTTTCTTTTTGTGTTTGAGAGAAATTGTCGAAGCTTTCTAATTTGGAACATAATTTTTTATTTCTCAACAAGATGCGTGTTGTTCTGGAAATTATTCTTCTCGAGTGTTATCATTTAACAGTGGGTTAACATATTAGATGGATCATCAATTTCAACTGATAAACTCTTGGAGATTGGAAAGCTGGAGAAATTATTGAAGATTCCCCCACTTAACGATATTTTAATGATGCCACAATTCATGTCGTGGCTCAAAGATGGCTACTTCATTTCTATAAGCGATATGGGGTAAATATTTTATATTCCACTCCTGCAGCCCCATTCAAAATGATACTTTTGCCTCGTCTTTATCAGGACATTTTGCAAAGGCTGATTCTTGTTAAAAGTAAATGTTAAGTAGTAAAAGACAAAACTGTAAATATTATTTCTTATATGCTATTTTTTTTTTGGTAATTAACTTCTTTTTTATTAATCACCAAGTATCAGTCTTTACAAATCCATAGTCCAGCATAAAACTCTGCTGACTATCTCATCACCAACTAATCTACTGGACTACAAAATAGCTATACTAAGCTACTCTACTATCGAAAATTGCTGCATTTGTTTTCTAGCTCTAGGAACTACTCTAACATTACATATATAAGCTATTTCTCGTGCTAACACTTCACTGCTACGATATCTCTGTTCAAAAATAAGTGTATTCCTTTCCATCCATAATGCATATGAAACTTCAGTGACCACTAATCTGAAAATGCTGGCCCTACTTGACTTCGCTTTGGCTTTGTTGATGATCCATTGAAGATGTTGATCCCAGTTGTGAGTATTCGATTGGTCCTCTTGAATCCACCTCATTACTTGTTTCCACAACATTGCTGTATATGAGCATAACAAAAAGAGGTGATCTCTTGTCTCCATATGTCCTTGACATAGAACACACTGTTGGTTAATGTTCAATCCCCAGTTAACTAATCTATCCTTGGTAGGTAATCTTCCTTGTAGTAGTAACCATAAGTTGAAGACAGTCTTTGGTCGAGCAGAGTTCTGGAATATCAGATTCTTCCAACTTACTCTTGGTAGATCTCCTAATAGCTGTAAGTATAGCTGTTTGATGGTGCCAATGTGATCATTTGAACTTTGAGCTTGTTGCAGGATATCTCTTGAAGCAATTATCCTCCTGACCATCCAACTAGCCTGTTTTGGAATTGGCATGTCTTTCAGTTGTTGCTGTTTAACATAGTAGGCATTAATCCATCTGATCCATAACTTGTCTTCTTTATGAGCTAAATCCCAGCACACTTTTGCAATTGCTGCCTTGTTCCATAAAAGAAGGTTGATGAGGTTCAGACCACCAGCAGATTTAGGAGTACACATTCTTTCCCAAGATACATATGCTTTCTTAGTGATAGTGTTGCTGCCAGACCATATAGAACTTCTACATATAGCCTCAATCATCTTTAACACTTTAACTGAAAGGATAAACAACTGAGCCCAATAGGCTTGGATGCCAAAAATCACAGATTGAACTAGTTGCACTCGACTAGAATATGATGGCTTCTTAGCAGTCCATGACGAGATATTGGCTGTGATTCTATCAATTAAAGGTTGCCATTGGATCAAAGCAATTTTCTTAGTGGATAGAGAAATGCCTAAGTATTTAAATGGTAGCTCTCCTTGTACAAATCCAAGATGATCTAGAATCTGTTTCTTCACTTCCTGCTTCACTCCACCAAAGTAAACTGAGCTTTTACCTAGGTTAGCTTGTAGTCATGAGGCCTCAGAGAATTGAGAGAAATACTGGTACATAGCAACAATGGAAGTTAAGTCTCCTCTTGCAAATAGAAGGAGGTCATCAGCAAAGCTCATGTGAGTGATGCCCAGTTTTTTGCACCTGGGATGGTATTGGAATTTGGCCTCTTTCCCCAGCTCAGCAAGTGATCTACTCAAATATTCCATTACAATTGCAAATAAGAAAAGAGAGATAGGATCTCCTTGTCTGAGTCCCTTAGCAGCCTCAAAAGGTTCAGTAGGTTCTCCATTTACAAGAACACTATAGCTAACTGTTTTAATACACTCCATAATCCATTTAATGAATCCGGTAGGAAAGCCAATCTCCTCCATCACTTGTTGTAGAAAAATCCATTCCACTGAGTCATATGCTTTCTGGAGATCAATTTTAATCATGCATCTAGGGGATATATGGGCTCTAGTATAGGATTTGACTAACTCATGAGCCAGGATTACATTATCAGCTATCTTTCTGCCAGGAACAAAACTAGCTTGGGCTTCACATATTATACTTGGCATGACCTTTTGTAGTCTGGCAGCTAAGATTTTGGATATCATTTTATACAGCACTAAACAACAAGCAATTGGTCTGTATTCCTTGACTGTGGCGGGCTTGGAAACTTTAGGTACTAGAGTGACGGTGGAACAATTCACTGGTTTATACATCTTGGTAGTTAAAAAGAACCCTTTAATAGCTTTTTTGACTTGGCTGCTGATGATACTCCAAGCCTTCTTGAAAAAAACAGCATTATAAACGTCAATCCCTGAAGCTTTATCATCTCCAATGGCTTTAAGACTCTCCAAGATTTCTTGATCAGTTACTTCTGCACACAGTTCCATTTTTTGTTGCTGGGATAGAATAGGACCATTAGCCATATATAATCTATTTATAGCAGGAAGTGATTTAGCTGCTGATCCCATGAGTGCCTTGTAGAATCCCAGAATCTCCATTTTAATATCTGCAGAATCATTTACCCTATCACCTAGGCCTTTTGTAATTTCTGTAATCTGTTTTCTTTGTGATCATTCTTTCATAACTGCAGGGAAATACTTGGTGTTAGAATCACCTAGTTGAATCCATTTTGCTCTTGCTTTCTGCTGCAACACACTTTCTTCAATTAGAGACCACTTTTCAAGGTTGAGTAATGTCTCTTTTTCCTTATGTAGTAAGCCATCAGAATAGGCACTTGCAAGTTGCTCTTGTATTTCTTTCAGTTCCAATCAGCCTTTTCAATCCTCTGAGTAATGCCCTTGAAATCCTTAGTATTCAAAGCCTTTAGAGGAGTTTTCAATGCTTTAAGCTTAGTCCATATTGCTTTCAGAGAACCAGAATTATTAGAAGAGTTCCAGATAGATGCCACAATCTGATGGAAATCTTCATGAGCAGCCCACACATTAAAGAACCTAAAAGGAACCCTTCCTTTCCAAGAAGAAGCTGCTAGAGTCAATACCATAGGATTATGATCAGAAATTTGAGGTAGATCATATATTGTCTCCACATGGCTCCAAGTCATCATCCACCCACAGTTGCCAAAAACTCTGTCTAACCTGCTACATACTCTATCAGCTCCAGGTTGTTTATTTGTCCAAGTATAGTACTCTCCTTTCCAAGGCAATTCTGATATCCTGCTTGCTGAAGACAGTAACCAAATTCTTGAATCTCTGAATAACTAACAGGATTACAAGATAGTCTGTCATTAGGATATAATACTGCATTAAAATCCCATGCAACTAACCATAAGTTTGTGATGCTTGTTCAAATTTGTTGCAAATTCTCCCATAGTGATCTTCTTTGCTCTATCCCATTGAAACCATAAACAACAGTGAGGTAGCAATCTATATCCTCCCTTATACTTCTAACTAGACAATGAATCATTTGAGGATCATCATTAAGTCCAGTAACAGTAAGATGATTAGCATCCCATAGTATCCATATCCTACCATTTCTAGCTTCATTATAGTTAGCTAGTATACTTCATCCAGGAACAAGAAAATTTGAAATTCTGTGAGCATTATCTTCTTTTACCCCTACTAATCCTACTAACTTTATTTTATTGCTTCTAATATACTCCCTAACTTTCTTTTGTTTATACCTTTTATTTACACCTCTAATATTCCAGAACAACCACTTCATTGTTGATTACTTGTTCCACCTCTATCCCCAGGTGGCATTTCATATTTGCTATTGGACACTGCTTCAAATCTATTTCTCACAGGAATGGGTGACAGGGGAGGAAAATTAGTGAGGTTCAATTCTGGGCTTTGGACTGCTTTTCCTTTGTCTTCCTGCCTTTCAACATTTGGAACTAGACTTGGTAGGTCATAGCTTTCCTTAGAACTCTGAACATCAGTTACCTTGTTGACAGTAATATGTTGTGATTCAGCTGAGGTTGTTTCTCTTTGAATAGGTGCTGCAGGTACTGGGGCCTTGGTTCTCCATTCCTGTGTAATTTTAGTTTTCTTCACTTGGTTATCGTGTGTAATTTTAGTTTTCTTATATGCTATGCTTGGTGTAAAATTTAAGTTACGATTTGGCAGTTTTTCTTAAAGAGTTCCTGATGACTTCACGATCAGTTCATTCATCGGAGTCAGTTCATCGTTGTTTGATTATTGAAAATGAATGCTTGATTAGTTACTTACTGCATGTCTTTATATTTTTAACTGCAGAAGATATATAATGGCCATGACAAATTAGTATTCATTTTCTTTTTCCAATGTGACAAAAGATAACGATTCTTTTACTTGTCAAGAAATCAAGAACTCAATGCAGGCTAAACCCTTATCCTAATTCGTAGTTACTTACTCCTCATTAATGGTGCGGAACTATCTATTTTTGTTAATCTAGTTACTCCACGAAAATGGTCTTTGATTGCGATCTAAAAAACACAGTCAATAATACAATCTTTTTCATTACTCTTTTCAGTAATTGCTGATTATTTTCGTATGGTTAAATAATTAAGTTGGGTTTTCCTGGATATATACATTGAACAGATATGTTCACAGAGCTAGGTATTACAGCTACCATGTGGAAGATTGACGAATCCATTGCGGTTTTATTAGATGGTTGAAGAACGAAGAAGACACTCAGCTTAAACTGAACTCCATTCGCCACATGTCTACTATTGCCGGTGCATTATTGCCGGTACATATATGATGATGATGATAATGATGAAGTTCTTCTCGCAGTGGCTGATGAGTTGACTACGTTTATTCCACATGTGGGGAGGAGTTGAACATGCTAGTGTGTTACTTCCGTTCTTGTAAAGTATTTGTGGAACCCTGAGTACAGTGTTCTGGGTGTAGCAGGAAAAGAGGCTGTACGTGAAAGAGTACTCAGACGAAAGTGCTATTTCTTGGCCATTGGATCAGCAAGAGTGTGATTCAGATGGATCAAGAGAAGATCAGGTCTGTTATGGACTGGGAAGTGCCGAAGAAGGAGAGAGCAGGCAGCAGTGGTGAAGCTGGATGCTCGAAGTCATTTTAGATACGGCAATTAAGAGAATAGGTCCCGAAAAAGCGGCCCGCCTTTCATCATCTATACCAGCTGCCACGCAGTCGCGCCTCACTGCAGGCACTGAATGAATGAATGAGTGAGTCTAGTCCACTATTTCTTGTCCTTAAAATATCATATATGCACCGCTACTGCTGAAGAAACTTCTGTTAGGGACAAGATAGTTGAGTCGTTGAGCAAAATAGGGTCTCAAATAAGGGAACTAGAATTGATCGAATCGTTCATTCCACTTTTGAAGGTTCGTTACGTTCATTGTCTTAATTTAATTCTTCCTGTAAATCATCTTTAATATTGGTTCTCATAGTATTGACCAATATGTGCGACAGAATTTGTACAAAGTAAATATCTAGAACTATGGTGTGACGACCTGACCCGTCGTCACGTGAGTTACCGCCCCGTTTCCCCCATTTTATGCTTCTTCATGTTTCATCATCGGTATTTGGTGTGTTAGAGTTGATTTGGGTTGGTTTTGGTAGGAAATGAGGCACTTAGTCTCTTTAAGGAAGGTTTGGTTTGGAAAAGTCAACCGGATGTTGACTTATGAGTTAGAAGGCTCGGATGTGATTTCCGGTGATTTGGTAAGCTTAGGGGAGTGATTTGGGACTTAGGAGTGTGATCGGAAGTGAATTTGGAGGTCCGGTGTAGAATTAGGCTTGAATTGGCGAAGTTAGTATTTTGGCGAATTCCGGTTGATAGGTGAGAATTTGATCCGAGGGTCGGAATGGAATTCCGAGAGTTGCAGTAGCTTCGTTAGGTGATTTGGGATGTGTGTGCAAAATTTCAGTTGATTCGAAGGTGTTTTGGTTAGGTTTTTGATCGAATGCAAGTTTCGAAAGATTTGGATGAACTTAGGCTTAAATTTGATGTAATTTGATGGTTTAGGTGTTATTTGTGGTGTTTTGATGATTCGAGCAAGTTTAAGTAAGGTGTGGGATCATGTTTGTGTTTTTGGTTGAGGTCCCGAGGGCCTCGGGGTGTTTTCGGATGGCTAACGGGGAGTTTTGGATTTGTAATGTTGCAGAACCTGTGCTGCTTCTGGTATTTTCGCTTCTGCGGAAAAGGGACCGCGGAAGCGGTACCGCAGAAGCGAGTTATGAGCCGCAGAAGCGGCAGGTATCGCAGGTGCGGAGTACAGGAGGACCGCAGATGCGAAAGTTGAGCAGTAAAGGGGGATTCGCAAAAGCGAGACTTTGTCCGCAGAAACGGAAGTCGCAGGAGCGCATATTCAACCGCAGAAGCGGATATTTCCACAGAAGCGATGCATTAACCGCAAAAGCGCGAGTCGCAGATGCGGCCATGGAGCCGCAGATGCGGAAATGTCTGAGCAGTGTTATTAAATTTCATCTTCGCAAAATTTCATAAGGGTTCATAATTTTCACTTCGGACTTGGAAAATTTGGGCGAGTTGGAAGAGAGAAATCAAGGGACTTCATTAAGGTAAGAATTTCTGAGTCTAAAACACGATTTTATGGTACAAATACATGAATTAAGACTGAAAAATTAAGGAATCAAAGGTCAAAAATGGTGGTTAGGGCTTGGAACTTAAGAGAGCAAAAATGGGGATTTGAGGGGTCATTTGGACTCCGATTTTGGTGTTCTTCATATGTATAGACTCGTGGCGAGATAAGGAATCCGTTGATGGTAATTTTTCTGATTTTTGAGAAGTGGGCCCGGGGCTCGGGTTTTTGCTAATTTCGAGATTTTAGCTATTTTTCGATTGTTTTCGATTGGGTATTGTCCCATTAGCATATTGTGATGTATTCGTTGTGGTTCTGATCAGATTCGGTACTCGAGGAGGTCAATTTGAAAGGCAAGGGCATAGCGAGCTAGGACTTTGGCCGGCTTGAGGTGAGTAATAGATGTAAATGTTGTTCTGAGGGTTTGAAACCCCGAACTTGCACATTGTAGTGCTATGCTGAGGTGACTTGCATGCCGGATAACGGGCGTGGGGTAGAGCACCGTCGGGGATTGTGACTTGATCCGTCCCGCTTAATAAAATTACTACCTAATTGATTGAAGCTTAGTTGATATCCTTATAAAAATGGATTAATTATCATACTTGGGCTCCGTGCCAACTGCTTGAATCCTTCAGGGATTTATTTTTACTGGTTTCTTACCGTATTTACAGATAATTGAATTCAGTCCTAGAATTTAATACTGTTTTGCAAACTCAGCCATTTTTCTGAAACTAGAAACTTAATTAATATTTTTAAATGAAGTTTGGGCTGAATATTTCTATATTATTGTTATGCCCGAGAGGCTTATGTGATTTTGGACTGATTATGGATCGGGCTGCGCGCCGCAGCTGTACTGTATTGATATTGATGTGAGGCCAAGGGCCTGGTTGATGCCACGAGATGGCTTATTATTGCGCTTGGGCCGTAAGGGGCCCCTCCCGGAGTCTGCACACCCCCAGTGAGCGCCGTCGACGATAAATAATG